CTCTGGGCGCGGCGCACCGCCCGTGCCCCCGTTCCTAGCAGCAGCCGAGCCGGGGGGCTCGGGGTGTGGAGACACCAGCCCAGTGTGATCAGAGGAAGTCCCAGGAGCAGCAAGAGCAGCAGCAGCAGCAGGAGGAGAGAGCCCCGGTGACGCTGGCGCCTGGTCGCCGCTGGCCGCCCAGTCGTATCCCCTCTGCGAGAGTTTATAATGGATGTACTTCAGCACTATCTCCCGGTTATCGTAGCCTCTTCTCCCCGGATGAGCCATAGTTTCCAGGAGGAAGCAGCAAGAGGAAGGGAGAGAGGAAGAAGAGTAGCAGGATGAACCCAAAAAAAGTAAAGCAGCCAATGACAATAAAACTACTAACACCAAAAATTATAATCCAGTTATTGTGTCGGACACGGTTTCATTCATAGTGACGTGGGGGCGTTCTCAGGGTCTTGGAGGTACTTTCGTCGTCTCAGTGTCTCCTCCTCGGTTTGAGATGCACAGTATAAATAGGAATTAAAACGTTGTGAATATTTTACTTCCAGATGCACATTTATTACTTACTATATATTTACTTTAGAAATATTTCCTCCTTGGTGTTGGAACACACGTTAAAAAATATCATATCTAGGCAAAATCAGGTGCATTTTCCCCGGGTGCTGAACTACCATGCACATGAAGGAGTGGACGGACACACACCGTAAAAACTGCAATTCAGTATGACTTGTTAAACAGCCTTGGATGATCGTTACTCCAATGCGCTTTATGCTAGAAATCTCAACACTGCTTTTTGTTTTTTTTTGTTGTTGTTAAGTTACGAAAAAGTATATTTCCTCTATAAAGTACTTACTTGGAGTATAAATATGTTCCTCTGTCAAGTTTCCTCAAAAAAAAAATAGCAACAACAAAACCCCAACATCACAAATCTTCAGAAACATTAAGTTCTGGCCGCTCCGATCCTTCAAGTCACCAAGGGGACAGGAAAGGGACAGAAAAAAAAATATATGTATATATCACTACGATTTCAAATGTCTTTGCCCAGACTCCTGCTTAGCAGACATCTCTGAAGACATGTCAAAGCTCAGAAAATCTTGCCTCGGAGCCCGGGAAGGCGAAAAACCCCAGAGAGACCCCAAATCCTGCAGACCAGACGAAACGCACACATGTGAATCCAGGCGCTCGCAGAAGTGCTCCGTTTTTCCCTCCAGTGCAACGAACGGACCCAGGCATTTACGTAGTTTCATTCAGGCACTGATCGCAGGAGCCCAGTGCTTCCAAGGACACGGGGAAAAAAAAAAAAAAAAAAAAACTTGCAGAGGGTGCACTCCAGGTAATTAATACAGGTCATTAATGAAGATGTTAATTAGTATTGGCCCCAGTAACAGTCCCTGGGGTGCATCACTAGTGACTGACCTCCAGCTGGACATGGTGCTGCTGATCACAACCCTCTGAGCTGGTTGTCAGTCCACCTCACTTACCACTTGTCTGGCCTGCACTTTATCAGCTTATCTGTGAGGATTTTGTGGGAGGCAGTGTTGAAAACTGTACTCAATAGGTCAGTGGGGTCATCCTTTATCAGAATGGCATCTAATGAGCTATTATGAATTTTACTTCTAATAACATGCCTCCGAACTTTTCTCTGTGATGCTAAGACACTTTTCTTCTTTTTCATTGCATAATTCTATTAAATTAAGTTTTTTAAGCAAATGGTTCAGTTTTTGGAATGCAGAAAGAAGATAGCATATTCTGAAAGGCTCCCTGCAGCTGAATGAAGCTAGGTTCCCTAAAATCCCTTTATAAGCTATACAGGGTGGAAAGAGAGAAGAGCATCCAAAGGATGAGTCAAGATGGTTAAATTATGGCTAATTATCTGGATTGCATCCTAGAGGAGTTTCTGTCTCCCTGTTAACATGCAGAGCTGGTAGGAAGATTAGTTTTTGTACATTTATGTGAGTTATCCCTTACTCCCAGAGGCCCCTGGAATGATCAGAGTTTTGAATCTTGTGATCTTTCTAGAAAGAACAGCTTCTACATTATTTCCAGCACTGTTTTACCATCTCTGGAAGTTACTATCTGGGTGATTCCAGTCATAACAGAGTGGAAATTGGCTTGAGATACCTGTGTCTTGTCTTCTCTCAGCTTCTCTGCCTTATTGATATAAAGCAATAAATTTAATATGTACCTTCTTGTTGCAGCTTAATACCTACTCTGTTACATGTTTTCTTCCTTCCTTCCTTCCTTCCCTCCTTCCTTCCTTTCTTCCCTCCTTCCTTCCTTCCTTCCTTCTCCCCCTCCTTCCTTTCTGCCTGCTTCCCTGCCTGCCTCCTTTCCTCTCTTCTTCCCCCTGCCTTCCTCTCTTCGCCTCTCCCTTCATGTGGGAAGGAATGAAGGACTCCCCATCTCTCATACAGGGAACCTGCTGGGAAAATCAGGAATATAAGGTGGCATCCCGCTCTCACCTCCTTTTCACTCGTGCCTGCTGATGGATATATGAGGCTGCCTGCGGCTGGTTTTTCCTTTCAGGGATTCAGAGAACAGAGGCTGCAGGGCAGCAAGGAAAACCAAGGAAGTCAAAAGAAGATGGATGGTTTCCTACACAGCCATCATGTCACAACTACCCTATGCCTGCATGTGTCCACATGCAGTGCGTCTACCTGCCCGCCCAGTCAAATGCTGCAGAGCGAACACACCTGGTCTCTGTCCGCAGCCCCCCAGGGAGCAAGGCTTTTGCGAGGAGCCGAGGCCTCGCGCTGGGCGGCTTCACTGGCACAGCCCGCAAAGACCAGGCCAACAAGAGGCGCCACCAGCCTTACCTCCCTGCTCCGAAAGAGAAAACTCAGCTTCATGTATGCAGAGATGCCACGGAGGCTTTAATGGAGCCAGTGATACAGAAAATCAGAGTAGCCATAACCAGCTGGGCTGCCGATTAATTCTCTCACTGTGCTGAGACTGGATCTAGCACAGTTGCTTCTGCAACTGACAACGCAGCAGACAAGCACCGTGCTCACAGATGTTGGGTAACAGAGAAAGCTGCCTGGCTACGCTGCACCGCACTTGCCGAGCCTGCTTGGTTTTATAGCCCAGAGCACACACCACTGCGGGACTCATGCAGAAAGCAAAGGTGTATGTAAAATTGATGTGCTTTTGTAAACGGCAATTTAAAATAGCAGTGGATTTACTTAGGGTATTTCAGTCTGTGCTGTGTGAGTTAGCCCACCAAATAGAACAGAGTGTACTGAGCGCATATAAACGGTATAATAAAATAATATTAGAGGGCCTTACTCATTTCTGATAGATACAGCAAAACTTTGAGATACTCCTTTTGGAATGTATCTATTAATAATGCTTTTTTTCCCGCTGGCTTAGTATTCAGAACCTTACTGTATAATGCAGCATTGACAGATCCCAGCCGGTAAATTTTTTACAAGTTTAATAGGAAAATAGTGTTCATGCCTCACAAGAAAGCATGTTAATGCCAAGCACACTTGAGGCTGTACCAAAAGAGAGATGGAAAATACAAAAGAAAATCCTAGCAACTGTGTGCTTTGAGCAAGGACATTAGGATGAGTCATAGAACAAAAACTATGCCTTAAAGAACGACAAATTGGGCTATCTAAAAAAAATTTATGTGCATTTGTACAATCTTTTTTTTTTTTTGTTCCTAACTCATTGTCAGATGCGTTGCATCTGACCTGCATTTATGACTATAATTTAAGGGAGTGGCATCTTAAAACTAATTACAATGTTACCTGAGTGAGTGATGAGCATGCATTAAAGTTTCACCAGTTTGCATCACAATAGTGTTTTCTACCTTGTTTGTTTGTTTAAGCTCAATGGGATAAAATGAAAGTTAAGAAAGGTGTGGAAAACAAAGGCAACATGTTTTTGGGTAGAGTATGCAAATAAACCAGCAAATGGGGATGAGTGTTTTTTCAAGGAACATCAGCTGAATGCATAAAATCTGCTAAGAAATTGCACGGTACTTTTAGGGAGCAGTGTAATAAATCTGCTACTGAAGATCTGATCCTGCAAATCCTTCTGCATGCATTTATGTGAGTTATCCCACTGAAGGTTATTTAGACCAGTAAAATAAGAACTAGCTGTGTCAAGGATTGCAATGAAACTAGGAATACCAGGGAAGCTCACACAAAAAAAGCTCGCATGGCAGAAGTTTACAAGATGAGTACAGCGGAAGGAGCACGGAGAACGGGTACCGGCCGGACCTGGCGATGTGAGGACAGCGGTTATTTGAGTGAGGTGGCTTTCTGTGCTGTGCGTGGGCTCAGAGCATGCAGGGATTCTCAATGTCTGCTATTTCTGTGGTAGCTTCTCAGATGCACAATGCATTATTAACAAACAGTCGAGAAAATGCTCCTCATTCCTGGCAACGCCGACCTTAACGACAGTCTGCAAGCGGACACCTTTTCCTTGTGCCTTAAAACTAACACCAATGGGCCTCCAGCAACAGCCGTGGTTCCTGGTGACCTGCCCACCCCTTATTCCCATGGCTCGTGGGTAGGCAAGGTGGGAGAAGCAAGCAGTCGTGCAAAGCGCTGCCTGAGCAGGCACGTTTGAACTGTGTGATGGTAAGCAAGGATTTTGCAGCTTTTTTTGCTATAAAACTGCAGAGTCAAGAGAGAGGCTTTCTATTCTGGGTCATATCTAGCAAAAAGAAAGGAATGGGGAGGAGAAAAAAGAAAATGATCCCCCTCCCCAAAAGCAAATTCCGAGCAACCCAAAAATAGTAGTTTAGGCAAACATGAATGTGCCAACCAAAGCAGTCCGTTTCATTACAACAAGCTAACACAGTTTAAATGCTGTTTTTCTTGAAAGAGCTCGCTAAGATTGTGCCTGCAGACAGGGTGCTTGTACAAATGAAGATGGCCAGGCTGCTCCTCACACAGCCATTGGCTCTATAAATGTCTGTGGGTGATAGGCGCGGGGATGCAAATTTCTGTTCCCCCACAGCTGTGCTTCATCTGCTTTTCTTCTGCTGAACGCGTTCGGTGCCTCTCCTTCCTATGCCAGCTGCACTTACGTATTTGCTATGCGTTCCTCTGTGCACACAGGAGCTTTCTGTTCTATCTTTCTAACATTGCCCGGACTTAAAAGCAGCCATTAACTGCATTATCTTGCACATTTGTTTCTCTCAATGACACCACCATGCCCATGGACCTGTGGTATCTTTGCTACACTGCAAGAAATGCACTGAAAGCAACACTATTTTACAAACTTGCATGTAAGCATACAACTCTGCTGTCAAGTGCCCAAGCTCCTTTATTGTTAAGTTGCATTAATTTTGATGGAAGTGTTGCCTCACACTGCTCTTGAAGCAGCAGCTGGGACCTATGGCATGAAATGCTATTAAGGGAAGGCATTTTGTACATAAAAGGTATGAAGAAAATGAGCATCCAAATTTCATGGATGCTTATTTTCCTCATTTTTGAGAACAATGGTGGCAGGTTAAGCTGAGCACGTTAACACTTCTTCCAAGCGCATTCCTGACGCAGGAGGTTGCCTTCCATCGCGACCGCGTTGCAGATGCTGCAGGTGCAGAGAGGACACTTGCTGTGTGGAAGCGCCTGCATGCCACACAACGCTGCTGTAGAGCTTAGGGCACACGCACCCTGCGGTTAGGGGCCCTAATGGCGCTCATCAGGAAAGGCGGGAGCATGAGGCCCTTGGATTATATCCTCAGGGTCCAGCACAGCAAACAATTCCTGACTCTCAGACCCCTTTTATCGCACTCTCCCCTTAAACACGGCTACCTCCAGCCCCATGG